AACTCCGGGAGCTAATTACTCTGCAACTCCTAGCATGGAGCCTGGTGCACATCACATGCAGGAAATCATTCTGTGCTCAATCTGAATTTTAGTTGCATACTGGTAGATGGCAACTATGTGCAAATAAGTTTTTGCTTTTCCTGACCATCCGACTAGACATATTATTGGAACCCTAGCCCTCCTGGGGCCCTGAAGTCTCCGAGCTACCTCCCCAGATCCATCTGCACCCACACAACCAAGACACAAAGCTGTTACCCACTCAAAGCTAGGAGATGGCAAACAGAGAAATGACTTTCAGGATACATGCTCAGAATTCTCTGAAAACAAAAACTGTGAGCCTAGAACATTTTGGTTGTTTCTGTTACTCAGGATCTTGCAATACTTTAGATTCATTATTACCAGTTTTGATTTTCTATTTTTTTAAAATTAATTTTCAAGGTATAAAGTGAGAGCTACAGCACATAGTACCGCTAGTACAGTGACTGGCAAAAGCAAGTATTCAATAAATTTTTGCTAAATGAACAAATGGATGCATGAATGATGAAGTGAGGTGATCTCCAAACTCAAAACAAAAAAAAAATCTCATAATATATAGGTAGAGAATGAGCCAATATATTACTTATAAAACTTTGAGAAAAGTTAAAAAAATTCAGAAATAATTTGAATGTATTTAACTTAATTGGCTTTTACTTAGTACAGTAAAGGTAGTTGGAATATAGTAAGTAGAATTTAGTAACCATTCAACTAAATTGTATTCTCTTTGGACAAAAGGAGACATTACTGTTTCTCTTGCAAGATTGAAACCCATCCCTGAACTTTAGTAAGTTTCCCAAATGAATTTTAGACTCGGTTAGCTTATTCTGTTTGTTTTTGTTTTGCTTTGTTTTTCAAGTAGCCTGCTGGCCTTCTAGCATTTACTCCATTTCAGATATCACTCACCTACCCCCTGTTACGCTACAGAACAGTGAATAGAAGCTCGAAAATAGTCTGGCAATGTAAGACAGTCCACTCGATATCTTAATAACTCCTGGATTTTATGAATACGGCTAGGAACTCTGCAATACCAGCGAGCCCCTGCAGGCCTCCCTCACTGGAGAAGCCACTATGAGGAGCTACCATAGTATAACCCAGAACCCAGGAGCATCAGACCTTTCACAGAGCTGGCTGATTCTCTCTGGTAAGGATGGTTCTTGTCTACAATAGTATCATTATGTCATGAAAAATCATGAGAATTTCCTGTAAGAGTTTTCCAATCCATGACTCAGCTTCCACATTCATGTCCTTTGACTTTCAGGCGATCTCTCACTGGCTTGAGTTTGCGATTCATCCTGAATCACAAAAATGATCAGTTGACATTGTCAACAGGATGGCCTGTTTCAGGGGGATAATGACTTATTGGGAAATGCAAATTAAGATATTATGCTTTATTTTACTTGGTTGTTAGTGTTTCCAGCCATCACCACTGACCAATTGAGGCTACAGTTTTGTGGCATTAATGAAAAAGGACTTAATGAGCACCTTCCTCAGGCACCAGGTAGGTCTCCCTGCCATGTACAAAACCAAAGTTCCTTCAAGAGGAAACTTCCATTCCACACTGGCAGGCCTTCCTCGATTTATGGATTATACCTCTAGACTCAGTAAGTAACAAATTAATCATTTTTTCCTACTGAGTCATTTTTTCCTTCCAATCTGAATTTCAGAACTGGCCTTGATTAATGCTGATGTACTGAACACTCTTCCCATTAAGTCATATATCTTGCAGGGAGCCAGTTGGAGCAACCATTCATATATCTCTCAGAGAAAAGTTTTTCAAAACTCTCAGTTTAATATTCTGATGGATTAATCTTCTATGATATCCTGAGGCTTCTTTCAAACACTGACTTCCGTTGTAATTATTCCTGCTTAGGATTTTTTTCCATCGTGGCAATTTAAAGGAAGCAATGTTCCTGCTTCAAAACTACATATGCATAACAGGTATGTATAGAAGGAGTTGTTTGACGTGTTAATTATTGCAGTTTGAGCACAATATTTTGTAAAAAAAAAAAAAGAAAAGAAAAAAAAACCCTTGCTACCCAAAAGCAACTTTTATTGTTATCCTTTTAGATGTAATGAAACAAATCTAAATAATATGTAGTAATATGTGCTATTTTTTGTGTGCTAACCTTTTAAGCTAGTGATTATTTACCCTTTTAAACTTGAAAATAATAAACCTTATAAAAATGTATTTTTATTAAAAAATGGCGATTCAAGATTCAAACTCTCCTCACCCTTTTTTGAACAAGGTCATGACATGTCCGCAAAAACAAATCCTACATTAGAAGCAAGTTACAGTTAATTAAACTGGATTCTCATGGAAGCAGAACTTTAGTGGTAACTTCCCTAGTAAAGTGTGAACTGGTTTTAAATGCAACCATCGGGAATTTAACCAACCGTTAAATAGTTCCTTGGTTTTTAAATTCTATAAAAGTCATTTGCTGTAGTTTCTACTTTGAGCTCCTATTCCAATGCCTGACATGTAGTTTGCAGTCAATGTTAACAGAATGGAAGGAAGTCTCGGAATTTTTTAAGAGGCTGCTGAGAGCGCCTTCTTTGACTCATCCACTAGGTGGCACCCAGGCACCACACTTCACACACAACCATCACAGACCTTCCCATTCATGGTGCAAAGAAAGAGCTGCATTATTAATTTATACCATCACGACCACTCTACACCTAATATTTATTTAACCAGCTGCTTCCTCTAATCCTCCTTAAACACTATTGATTAAAATCCTAAGTATATTCAAGTTTCCACCCCTCCCTACTTCCTCCCAACAACACTTTGTTACTTCTGAATAACAGACTGACGGCATTTAAATAACATAGACCAGGTGATATGGTTGCTAATAGTAAATCCAGGCTGTTGGAAAACTAACTACAGGCAACAGAAGACTATAATGTAAAAGTTATTTTCAAATTTGTTTTTGCATTTCGTTGGGGTTTTAATTGGTGGAACACCATTACCTTAAAAATAGAATCTGAAAATAAAACATGCATGGAATAAAAAGAAAACTAATGCTAGTGCTTTCAACATAAGGGAGTCATTTTCTGAATACGACTCTTGTTCATCTCTATGAAGATGAAGTGCAGTGCCACCTAAGGGTTCAAAGACTCTTTCAACTACTCAGAAAATGCCAATATTCTACACCCAGGATACTAAAAAGCAAGATTGTGTAGCAGGCCGTCTACTCAAACTCTGCATACTCTGAATGTAGAATGTATTTATCCTGGATGTGTTACTCGCTCCCAAAGGAATGCCAAGGATGTGAAACCACTAGGACTATAATGAATTGATTCTTCTCGGTGAAAGTCTCTTCAGTACTTCTAAATTACAGTGTCAGTCATTCCTCTGAGAGACAGGGCACGGCTGACATAAATGACTCATTTTATAAGAACATGATGTCCCCCCTCTTTCCTGTAGAAAGCCCTGACTCAGTGGACACTCCGACTGCAGTATTGCACCCTGGGTACATTCTTCCTGAGGACCAAGGATCTGTGGAGGCACTTGGTTTTCTCTTGCTCATTTAATTAAATTTAAGCACAACACTTCTTATCTAGTTTTCCCATTTCAAGCTGTTTCCAATTTTTGGAAGAGACTACCAAAAATATAAAGTCATCCTCTCTTAGCTTAAACAATTAAATTATTAGGGAGCCCCCAAATAACTAAAGACCAAAGCTTCAATGTTGAGTAAACATTTGGCATACATTCCATTTTACTGAATGGAAGGAAAAACATCTTTGTTAGTAGAAATAAATAGACCTAATGTTGAAAACTAATGTAAAAGATTAAGAAACATCACATTAAAAGTAATCCAAAGAGAACTACTATGATATATTTTTAGTAGGGCAATATTCCCATTTCATGATTCCATTAAAATATCAGAGTATAAAAGACTGAAACTATTACATACTGAGTGTGCATAAAATTACTGCAAATTTAGTACACTGAAATAATCAAATAAAAATGGTTACCAGAAACTACATTTGTAATGAATAAATATTACATTTTACTTAGAAAGAAATTAATTCACAGGCTTTATTTCTTAAGAACCGTTAGCTTCCAAGAAGCCAGCCAGCATGTTGGGTTTTATGACATCACACTGGGACCTGGGCTGGAACAGTTTCCACCTAAAAGTCCCCAAATGTACTGGCCACTTTGTGTGTTTTTCCAGTGATAAATAAAAATAAAATAACCTATTTTCAAAATAATAAATCATCTTATGTTCAACACAACAGTCATATTCAATGGAAGAAAACCATTTAAGCCTCAAAGAGTTCACATTTGCTTAGGGTGGTGAACAGTCTCAACCCATAAATAATTCCTTTCATTAACTTTAAAAAATAATCTTAACAACTATGACAAAAATTTTTGCATATTAACATTATTCATCAATGTGATGCTCTCTGTATAAAATGCATCTCAATTCTATGATCTTAATTGTACAGTTAACTGGAGAAGCCTGGACCAAAATTGGTAACATTGCAAAGATGATCAATCTAACAGCTATTGTCTATGATAACAGTAACTTTCATTTTCACACACATCTATCTATTCCCTAAAACCTAACTCATAAGTCTGAAGTGGACAGTCCCATTCCTCAGCATTTCTTCCTCCTATACTATTCTTTTTCCCCTCTCAGGTGCTGTAAAAATGCCCACTGGAGCACAGATGGAAAAGCCACCACTTGGAAACCAGACGTCTACCAGATTTATAGGAGCATTAGCAAATGCCAGGATACTAGAGTTAATCCTTGCCCCAATTCTAGACTGAGCTTATTTACTGCTATACAATATTTTATTTGACATGGATCCTAAAAAGTTGAGATGTTATGTTAAACTCAAAAGAAAATCATAAGAAAATTTGTTTTAATATATACATATATCGTGATATGTATTACTCTTCGAAATATGAAAGGCACCAAGGTTTGGCAGAAAGAGTAAAAAAGTGATGGAAATTTTACCTTGTCCTGAAAGCCAGAAGTTCAAATGTTCTCAAGTCCTGCTGAAGTTGGAGACTGGAGATCAAGTGAAGCTAGAGCTCTTTCCCCTCACCTTAAGTTTGTCTCTAGGCAAGTGTGTGCGTGTGCGTGTGTATGTGTGTGTGTGTGCTCAGAATGTCTCTTTGTGGCGCTGGATGGCAGAGGTCCTGGTCCTGAGAAGAAGGAGGCACTTTCTCACCAAAAGCAGAAGAAAAGCAAAGCGTCACCAGGAAAGTTTTCCTCCCAGATCCCCTAATTACAGCCTAACATGCACTTCATGCAAACTTCAGGGAGGAAGGGAGGGGCAGCTCTGTGCCCAGACCTCGTGAAACAGCAGCTTTTAGACGGCTTTCCCCGCTGCTCAGATCCCCAAGTGCAGGCAGAGCAGCAGCTACAACCACAGGCTCCCACCCACACCACACCTCCTGCGCCCTCATCACTTCTTGGGTGTGTCCTGAGGGGATGGGGCAAGGGGCTGCGTCGTGAGGCAGAGGAATAGTGAATGATTTTCATTTTGTTTTTTAGCCTCTGTTTAAAAGGAAAATTCAAGGGTAGCAGAGGTCCTGGCTTTCCTGCCTTTTCCGCCCCAAAGTAGAGCCAGGATAACCAGGTAGAGTGGCAATTATGCCCATAGATAAGCTTCCTAATCTGGAGGTGCCCTTGCAGGGCAGTGGCCAGAAGTATATTTTCTTGTTTACTGGACTCAGCATCGTTATTGGGTTTGAATCTCCTTTAACAAACAACTGCTATTGTACCTCTGGATGACAGAGCTCGAAACCTGGATTTATTTATAGCCTGAGGAATGCGAAGGGCAGACGGGATGGGTGGGGTTGGCTTATGGATCTATACCCAGGATTAGAACCAGATGGGCCCAGGGTACTTGCGGACACACACACTCGCCCCTAAAATAACCATCGGGGAAGATGCTGGGACACGCGGGAAAACACCTCCTGAGTAAATAGACGCTTATTTATAACTCCGGAGAGAGTATATAGGTCCATTGATTCCCGCCTTGAGTAACCAAGGGTATTGGAGAGGAAATGGCTTCATATTTCAATAACAGAGCCACCTTTGATGGAGCCTTGCAGGGGAAAACAGAAACACACCGCAGGAAGCGAACGGCTGTGCGAGCGCCCGGGCGGAGGGAGCGGGGCGGCCTGGCGAGGAGGACGAGCAAACCGGCGCCGGGGCCCGGCCGGGAGCGCGCTGCAGGGCGCCTCGGGCGGGGGCCCTGGGGCGCCGGGGTCCGACCGCGAGCCCTCGGGTCGGGCCGGGGCACGGGCGCCGATGCGGCGGGGAGGCAGGGACGCGGGTCGGCAGGTGACTCGCGGGGCAGGTGGGGCCCGGGCGCGGGGCGCGGGCGCTGGGTACCGGCCGTGCGGCGGCGGCGAGCGGCGCTATTGTCTTAGAGATGCACCTACACCCCGAGGCCGCTTCCTCCCAGGAGGAAGGCGGGAAAGAGACCGCAAAAAAAAAAAAAAAAAAAAAAAAGATCTCCCGCTTTTCCTTGACGTATTTCACCAGTTCCTGCGCCCGGGCTCGCCCTTGCCCGCTATTCATCTCTGGTAATTTAACACGTGCCTGAAAAAATGTTATTCCAAAGGCAAACCAAACACTCACAAACCCTCACGAAATAAAGACAGTTATTTCGAAATGAAATAATTAAGAATGAATCCTCCAACGGACAATTCATCCCCTTTTCTGTACTTCCAACACCTGAGCCAGACACCTCTTCGTTTTTTCTGTTTCTCTCCACAGGCCGCTGAAAATTTTTAAGTTTTATGTCGTTAATTTCATGGCTATTGAAATGGCTGTTGGAAATGCATCAACTGCCAATACAAATAAAGTGCATCTGCTTTTTAACCATGAAAAGAGTGTTTATGCCATTTCTTGTAAATGTTCAGAATGGTATGCACTTTAAGGAACATAAAGGAATTAGAGTTTAAACCAAATGTCCTATAATTTTTATATTAAAGCTCCACGAAGGTGGTGAGGCTGCTGGTGTGTGGCTGTGAAATCATATAAAGATAGTTAAATACTGATCAGGCCCCCTCAGCTTAGAAGGTCATTTCTGGGAATTGCCTCGGGAGGAAGTCAGCGGGCCCACGGATGCCCTCGTCCCCTGGTCTGTGTCTGCTCTAGTCATTCATGCCATCCCAATGCTAAGAGAATGCAGTGCGTTCTCTTCACGAATTGTTTGTTAGCCACACAAAACCATCTGTTTTGCAATTCATTCAGACCACAGTAAGAATATAAAAAAACTGGGACATTTTTTTCGACTTCAGGTATAACCCCATTTGAGACAGGCTTTCAGAAATAATGACAGGCACTTAACCCTTGCTGTTCCTTGTCGTTCCTACCCCACCCCTTTCCTGTCTTCCCTTCCAAGTTGTCTACTAGTGTTTGTTAAAAGATACTCAGTATTTTTAATCACAAGTACTTAACCTCTCAGTAGTGTGTGTTTCAAGTGTTATTCAGGCTTAGCTTAATTATAAATATACGTTTTCATTCTTTTTTGTGTTCATGATTACTAATTATTTAAACTTTACATTGTATCCCCGCTGGCTCAGTTGGTTCTGCGTGGTCCTGTAGAGCAAAAGGTTGCTTATTTGGTTGCGGGTCAGGGCACATGCCTGGGTTGCAGGTTCAGTCCCCAGCTGGGTGCTTCCCAAAGGCAAACAATAGATGTTTCTCACACTGATGTTTCTCTCTGTCTCTCCCCTTCCCCCTCTCTCTAAAGTAAATAACTGAAAGTAAAATTGACATTGGAATTAGTTGATGTCCTTTAAATTTTTAAAAAATATTTTGTTAACTAATGTTATCTTAATAGGTATATATTACTTTGACCAGTCATTATAATTATGCATCAAGGCAAAATTATAAAATGCTTTGATAAAAATCAAGTAAATAAATAAAAGACAAGTATATTTTTATGACCAACTATTTTAGAAAGTATAAATTATAAAAAAATATATTAAAGATACAAATTTCTTTTCAAAGGAAAAACAGCAAAAAAGTGTTCTGTATATGAAGATTCCCTCTAAGTATTAACAATAAAAGACAGAAAACTGTACTTGAACAACGATTAAAATAAAATAAAAAAACCCAACATTAGTTCATGTGGAAACTCATGTCCTTCATTGCATATTGAGATGTTTTTGTTTGCTTGTTTTTTCATTTATTTTTAAGTTTTTAATTGTTGTTCAATTATAGTTGTCCCCAGAGATGTTTTTGTTTTTACTTTAGAGAAGGCAGGGGGACCAGCGTTTTTTAGTTTCAAGAGAAAACAAATATTTTCTTCAATATTAATTTTTAAAATTACTTACTTGCTTGTAATTCATGTCAGGCTTTACCTTAAATTACCTGACTATTGCAGAAGATACAAAGCCAAAAAATCAAAATTGAAAATCAAGGCCAGTTCTGAAAAAACAGGCACAAATTTAGAGATAACGGGTAATACATGCATTTTCCGCACATTTTAAAAAGATCTTGTTTAGCATAATCCAAAAGTATTTTTTTAAATAAAAATTAGATCAGAATGGTGTTATAAAATATAATTTTGCATTCTTTTGCTAATTTTAGAAAATTTGAGTAATCGGATTGAACCAAATAAAATAGAATATTCAAATATTTTTGACTCATCTGAAAAGGCAATTTTATCTGGCTTAAACTAATACAAACTTAGATATGTGCAAACTATAAACATATCAAGAACATTTTCAACATTTAAAGACTATCGATCTAAAATATCATGAATCTATAAAATATAACATATTCTCCAACAGAATGCTATTTCTCCTCACATGAACAAAATATATATTTACATTCAAATGGGAATTATCTAAATTCACCTCCTCTTCCAACTCTGAAAAAGGCTGGTCTATTATCCACTGAATTCCAGAGAACTTCTTCCATGTGAGTTGAGTTTCCTGGAATTTTTGCCTCAGGCTAACATTGTACCTGGTTGAACATCTGCTAACCTAAAGGTGCAGCTCTGTGCACTTTGAGGTACTGGGGAGGAAAGCCATTTGACCTTGCCTGTCTGAGGGCTCAGAACTTCATTAAAGCATCCCTTGAGATTGCCAGCCTCACCATGAGAAAGACATCATTTGTAATTAAGTCCTTCCCACTGGCTATATTCTTGTTGAACTCTATGATTAAACACAAATTCAATATTGTAACTGGCCACAAAGCATTTGATAAAAGGTTATTTTGCTTTTAATGCAATGGGAGGTGGACGGCATTCAAAGGGCCTACTTTTTTGTACTATCGCTCTGGGAAAGTGTCCTGCAGGGAGACTCTTGAAAAGGGCGAACGAAATAATTAGGCAATAAATTGGTCAAGTGTTAAGAGCAGGGCCATTTCAGAAACTAGTGAGGCCATGTATGAATATTACACCAAGTAATAAAATAGCCTTAACTCCTGAGAAGTAAAAACGTGCATTTTCCCTTCTTGTCTGCTGTTGGCTTTTGTTTTCACAGCATCTTCCTTGCACTCTATTGTTCTCTCAGCATGTTATTTTGTCCAGAATGTTGAAACTCTGTTTTCATTTTTTCCTCATTAACTAGATTCTACTCATTTTGCAGTGAGCCACGGCTTGAGTCTTTTGCCATGCTGACTGTCTGATTAGGGAAGCTATTCTTCCCTCACAGTCCCATCTTCCTGCTAAGGACATCCACTCGCCACTTTTGTGCTGCTCTGTGTTTTTTTTTTTATTTTCACATATTTAGATGTTGACTTTAGTCAGGTGTCCCATAAAGCCTATTATTTATATCTTTACACAGCTACTAAAAGCTGACCTAAAATGTTTATTGACATTGTTGAAGATGATGATAAATTTCTTTATCTTCAGGAGAGAAAATAAAAAACAAATGAGGGATGCTAGTTATTGAAAAAGCTAGTTTAAAAAAACAGCTCTCATAGACACAGACAATGGCACGATGATTACCAGAAAGAAAGGGGTTGGGGAGGTACATGAACAGTGAAGGAGGGGTAATGGTGATGGAAGGAGACCTGACTTGGGGTGGTGAACACACAATACAATATACAGATAATGTATTATAGAATTGTGCACCTGAAACCAATATAATTTTATTAAGCAATGTCACCCTAA